GATGGTTTTAAAACCGTTTTACCATTTTAAGTCAGAGAAGTCAGTGTTTAATGAATATCATTGAAATTTCATAAATGAAATTAGATTTCAATCATAGATTTGTCTTTAACCTTCAGACTTAACAGTAACATTTTTAAGCATAAAGAATACACATGAACATTAGAAATATGTAAGTCTCTGAACAAATGTCCTTCATGGAATAAAACAGATGTACTTTTTAAAGAAATACTTCATAAAGACTATATGACGGAGTTGACAAGCCATTAACGGAGTTGACAAGGCATTGATGGAGTTGACAAATTAAATTTGCAGAACGATAAAATGATCATGAACTGGAAAAATCTCATTCAAAATGTCTTCTGAACTCTCACAAAACTCTAATACTGGAATAAATGAAGAAAATGTGACGTTATTATTCTTTTCTTGAAAAAGGGCTCAAAAATTGAAAAAAGTAACTGGAACTGAAAAACTGCCTTGTATTCTTTTAAAAAACAGATCTCACTGACATACTAATTCTAAATCATTGCATGTATTCAATGTGAGCATCTCTTTGAAGTTGAGTTTAAACACCAGGTAAGAGATGATTCAGGTGTTCCCCTTCAATGAAATCCATGACCTCAGGAGATATGTGATATACTTCCCTGGTGCTGCTTATACGAACTGGGGAAGATGGCTCACTCAGCTTAACCATAATATCTGGAAATGGCACAAAGCAGATATCCGGTCGTCCTTGTTTTTGCTGGAAACGGACATTTGGCCCATGAGGATGAAAAAATTCAACTTGAACATCATGATGCTCTGGGTCAACTGCTAAGGCTTTAGCCAGCCACCAGTACTGGTCATACATGACAACAAGCCAATCTTCACTCTGGATATCACTGGGGCCTATTCCAGTTGCTGTGCCCTCAGGTCCTCCACTGGGTTCTTTCTCCATGGCCTCCATCAACATCGCCAGAGGACTCTGTACTGCAGTGGCAGGGACATCTGAATCCTTAGGGATGCCATCCCAAGCATGGGTAACTGGACTGAAGCAGGGGCAAATATGTGGCTCATTGCAAAAACATGACATGTGCCTACAATGGATGACATTCCCCTCTGCTACAACTTGATGGATCTTCCTTGTTCCGGGATAGATTTCAAGGGTTGCACAAGGAGATTGTCATATGTCTTGAAGTTATCACTGGTGACAAGTTGAAGTTTCATGCCACGTAGGCTGTTGGAGACCTTGTCATAAAAGTCCTTGTCATCAACGATGTTCTGACCTCTAAGAACTATACTGTCAGCACATCTCTTCACTGTTGCCCCAATGCCATCAGGGGCACCCTTGCCATGTGACGTTGGAAAAAAATTCCAAGTTGCATTCTTGAATCCAAGCCGGGGAGGGACAGCACAGAGGAGGAGAAAGTTCTTTTTGTTTTTATACTGTTTGCTTGGACCATCTGACCAAACGTGTACTGTCTCAACATTTGGAAATCTTGCATGAATATCTGTCAGGATTTGATGCATATGTGTCCAAATGGCTGCAGCATCCTGGCGCTTGGACTGAGAGATGGTGCAGAATCCTGCCTTTTCATGCTTGGTGTGGAACATGCCCGTATGAAGTGTGATCTGTGGAAGGTTTTGACCAGTGACAGGCTTGTATTTCTGAGGTATTTACATTTCCAGGCCTCAGAGAAGTCCACATGCACAATAACGGTGGTATCATCACAGTTAGTTATCATGTTCCTGTACTCTTTGGTTTGGTTTTTCACCAAGTGGACATGGGTGGTCGTCTCATTTTTTAGTTTGTCTTGGTAGAGAATCATAAGCTCTGATAGAGTACCAGTGTGTTTCACCAGTTTCGTGTTGAAGTGAACTCCAGCTTCTGTTTGCTCCTCAATGCGCTTCCACTGCTCCCATTCCACTTGTGTTTTCCCTAGCTCTGCACAAAGACCTGTATATTTGTTTTGGAATCGAGAGCAGGTGCGTAAAAGACATGATTCACTTGCTGGAGAACAACACAAGATGGAAACTCTCTTCAAGTTTGGTAGTTGACACAACATTTGTGGGACTTCAAGCATCAACTTTGCATTCTCATGGTACTGACATCGACATGTCTTTCGATCAGAGGCTCTTGGGGTGTGATGTAAAATGGGCGCAATGCACAGAAAGATGAATAACTAAGCCTTACATCTTGGTTCTGTGGAGAAATGCAGTGTGAAGGTTTAGCATTGTGTCGGTCAGAATCATCCTTTGATGTTTTACTTTCTTCCTAGTGATGGTGTCTTGTTTGTCTGTAGTTATCCTTGCATTGTTTTCCAAAAACGTTTGGACATTATGGGAGATAGTCTTAAGGAATGAAGGCTTCCTTTGGTTCAGTAACTTTTCTCTCAGTGTTTTATATGTCAAGCCAAATTCATGAACCCGGTGCATCAGTCGATATTTCTTGAGATTTCTGCCAGACAACGCCAGCTGTGGATGCTGTGATGCAAGCTTGCTTCTTTTTTGAGGAGCATTTCTTCTCAGCTCTGCAGTCATTGCATGGTGGAAGAGCAATGACCTTTTTATTCAAGGATTTCTGAGTCTGCTCCCTTCAATCATCTTTTCAGTCTGGGTCCGAGGCGAGTCTTGAGCATTCTTATGAGTTGTGCCTTCCTGAGTGTGCTTTATGCGTTTAAGTCGTTTTCTCAGCTTGTCAGCTTCTTTTGCCAATTTATCATGTTTGTCTGTCAATGCTTTAATCTCTCTGGAATGTCTTTTTCTGGTTTTAGCTCTCTCCCTCAAACCAGCATACAGTTGCCTGTTGCTCGTCTGCTCCTCAACGCTGATGTCTAAAGGACTCTCTGGCGGAGTATCTAAATCTTGCTGCCTTTCCTCTGCTCTTTTCTTTCGTTCTCTTGATTCTTTCTGTGCCTGTTTCCAATACTTTCTCTTTCGCCTCTTTGCTCTCTTTTCCAAATCATTGATCTTTTTAATTTTGCCCTTATCAACCCTGTTTCTCCATCTTTCCCTCTCCTTTGTCAGGAACTCCTCCTTCAGCTCAGGCTGGCTATTAAGTTTTCTCTCCTTCTCTTTTGATACTCTCTGTTTCTTCTCTTTTGCTCCTCCACTGACAACTTCTGTCTAGCCATTCTAGCCTGAAATGCATACCATTCTGCAATCAGTTCTTTATTATGGAAACACATGCAACACTTTATTACATATCAGGTTGAGAGACAACTTCAATGAAATTCAGTTAAACACATTCAAGTAGGCTGCTGTACATCAAAACTAGTTTGAATTTGACACATGAAACTACAATAGCAATAAAATGCATAGGTGATATTATTGGTTTTAACTACATTAAAATGCTTAAATTGGACACTAAAATGGCATTAGTCAACACCATCAGAGACTGCGTCAACACCATCAGACAAACATTTTGATGGTGTTGACGTCTGATGGTGTTGACAAAATAGCACATTTCTCCATATATCACACATGATTCTCACAGGAGCCATCTTGTTTTTAACATCTGTTGGTCATGACCCAGTGAATCTATATAAATTAAGGCTATATTGCAGAAAACTTTACACAGATGTTGACTTTTAGTCATTTTGGAGTTGATACGCTATGGTTGTGACACATGCACATTAGTAAATAGATATGAAATACAAAGTATTATTAAAGACTTACCAGAGCTAAAATTTTCTCATGGCATAAGGAAGACCAGGGAGGAGGGAAAGGGGTCCTTTGAGATATAGCTGCCCTAAATTATCCTGATTTTTTTCCCAATTTAAAAAAAGTCTGACGGTGTTGACAAAAACTCCGGACACATGTTCATTGGACCAGAAAGTACATTAAAGAAAATTCAAAATTGTTTTTTTTAATGCTTGTGTAATAAATACTATACTATTTACACCTAATAATGATAAAGTTAAATTTTATATTACTTTTTGGACTTTTTAAAGTATTATAGTGTGACGAGATCTGCTCCCGGACATGGGTTTTTCTAAGTACTGGTCACATATCATATCATTTAGAATAAAAACAAAATGTAAGACAACATCAAAACATACTTTGTTGTGCTACCCTTTTCCTGTTTAGGATTTTTATTATTATTTTTTACATATATTTTGCATATTTTATGAACTTTTTTTTTAGTAATTGGGCCTCGCTCTCATCTTTCTCTTTCTCCTCCGTGTTGGTCGCTTATAAGAGCGAGGCTCCTCAGCAGCAGGAGTGAAGTCTCCTCCGCCCTTTCGTCTCCGAGCAACAAGCGGAAATCTCGCGGAGCAACGAAATCTCGCGAGAAAACTTTGAAGTAGTTTAAAAAATAAAATCGATGTTCCCTTTTCCATATCAAGCATTAATTAAATATCGATCGAATCGAGCTTCACGATATATCGCCCAGCACTATGTGCAAGCACTTTGAACATTATCTGACACTGACCTCTGACCTTTGCTTCATGTTGTCTCTCTTCAGCTGTCATATCAATAATGACAAAAAGGTTCAAAAAATAACAGAGAAAAAGATGATTGTGTTTTGCACACAGAATAAAAGTTTTCACTTCTGGAGACTTCAGAGGCTCCTTAAAAAAAGTCAAAATGTCAAGAATAGAATCTTCTCTCTCATGTCGGGCCCTCATCATCTTCTGGAGACAAACAATTGTTTTTAAATATTACAAGAATATATTTGGTGAAACGTCCTGATGTTAAAAGAATGTAAAGGCTATCTAATGTCTGATTGTTTTCTTCATGTACTTAGATTGATGTTTATCTCATCATGTTTACACTTTATAATGTTTTTATTTCATATAAATATTCTTGATTTCTTCTCTTCAGACATCAAACACTTACAGGAGGAGAAGTGCCACATGTGGAAACAGATCTGAAGTCTGAATTTAGAATTTAAAAATTCAAACCAGACATAAAACGATGAATCCTGATATTAAAAAATAAAAAACAACAAAGTCATGATGTGAACTCACTAATTGATCCTAAAAATCCTGCTCCATAAGAAGCAGTCCCAACACACAGTGTAACATTGATCATGTTTTATTCCAGCAGGTGGATGTGAATGATGAAGCACAGCCTGATATCACGTTGTAACCATCAGAGCGTCATTCATCAGCAGCATAAAGAAACGTTTAGGAGCATACTTCAGCTCTGTGTTTGTCTCTACCTGACACACTCGGCTTTATAAAGTCTAAAGAAGAGATACATCCTCGTCCCACATCTTAAAGTCTCATTATATCTCAGTGTAGCAGCAACAGAATCTCATGTATTTACAGTCAAACAGCAGCTGTAGTTCAGTGAAGTACTGAGGCTTTGATTCTCCGTCAGTCGTAAAGCGCCTTTGCTCTCATTTCTTCATTCACACACTGGATCAACAGGAGAGCAAACACAAACAGGGACTTCTATTTCACACTTTCTCACATCAATCCTGTTTTTCAAAGTGTTTCTTTAAATCCTCAGTCAGAGGCTCTCTGGGATGTTCACAGGGAGACCTTTATGTTTTAAACCCTGGATTCCATTCACAGATGATATTAATGAAATGATCATGCATTAAAGCTGCAGTGTATTTAAAGCAGAGTAAACGTTAGAGGTGTAAGGATGTGTCATGAACATGCTCCTCAGGTCGTTCCAAAGTCGACGGGCTCTGATTGGAAAAAGCCCGATCTCCACGGCGTTCATTAAAATGTGAGAACAAACACCTGGTTGGATTTGATCCCTCACTCAGCTGTTTTCAAGTATGACATCATGATGGTCAAACAGATGAAATCATCTTCATGTTGGGATTAAGGCAGATTAGCTTCAATAACTTTGGAGTTCCAGAGTCAGAGGTTTGAAGGAACACGACGTGAGTCTACCTGACTTCATTCAGCTAGAAGGTCGGATTCAGTGCGGTCTTTTATGGGTTCACCTTTCTCCTCGTCTGCAGGAAGAAAAAACTAAATGATGTTCAAGAAAATCACGACTGACTGATCTGACTGAGAGAGTGAAAAACAGACTGAAGACTGAGGAGATACTGACAAGACTCTTAAAGAGAGACACACAGGTAGACTTTGAGTCGTCTCCTCGTCATGAAAATGTTTAAAAACATTTTGTAAACTTACCTTTGTTGGAATTTTGTGTTAAGCGATGTTTGATGTAAAGCAGAGCAGCAACAACGATAAGAGTGATAACAACTGCCACAACGACAGCAGCACGACAGCAGTAACGACATATCCAGCAGAGAAACCTGAAACTGAAACAAAAAGTTTGTGTATCACTCAGAGTGTAGTTTCATATCACACTCAGATCAGACTGGACGTCACATTGGACACACAGAGAACAGCAGGTGTGTGTGTGTGTGTGTGTGTGTGTGTGTCTCTCTCTCCGTGTGTGTGTGTGTGTGTGTGTGTGTGTGTGTGTGTGTGTCTCTCTCCGTGTGTGTGTGTGTGTGTGTGTGTCTCTCTCTCCGTGTGTGTGTGTGTGTGTGTGTGTGTGTGTGTCTCCTCCGTGTGTGTGTGTGTGTGTGTGTGTGTGTGTGTGTGTGTGTGTGTGTGTGTGTGTGTGTGTGTGTGTGTGTGTGTGTCTCTGTGTGTGTGTGTGTGCCCTCCAAGCGGGCGGCCCGGGTTCAAATCCGAGCTGAGGCTCCTTTCCTGCACGTCATTCCCCTCTCTCTCTCTGACTCTATCCTCTGTCCTTTCACAATAAAAGCACAAAAATAAACCTTAAATAAAGTTGCTCTCATTCAGCAGGATAATAAAACATTTAAGACATGACTCCGCCCCCGATGATGACATCATTGCTGTCAAACAACGTCGTGAAAATCAGTGATAACAAATATTATACTGAGCGTATTTTCACAAAGTAATGAAATAAAACAAATAAATACGAGCTGTCAGCGTTAACCAGTTAATCACATTAATCTCCTGTTTGTCCCTTCAGGCTCTCCGTAGATAGTGGTCCTCAGTGTCTCCCTGTAGTCTCACTGATGGACAAGAAGAACACTGCTGCATCTTTGAACGTCTCATTTCACTTTAACAAACTCTCACACAGTAATATCCACCTGATGACATCACACATTGACCTGATGACATCACACATTGACCTCATGACATCACACATTGACCTCATGACATCACACATTGACCTTTGTTACCGTTCCTTTGAGCTGTTTGACCTCAGTTTGGGATCTCTAACCACTTCCTGTTTCTGTGCTTAACTTCATGTCCTTATCTTCACTCTACAGGAAGCTCCTTACTGTATTTCAAAATAAAAGCACACAGCAAGGAAAGCACTCTCAGCTTAAGACTGTGCAAACCTTCAAAATAAATTTGTATATAGGTTAAGGGACTTAGGTCTGAGCAGCTTGTGGTCCAAAGATGGCACAGGCCCTGGTCAGTATTTCTTTAATTGGTAGGAGGGGGTCCTCCTCTTGAAATCCCCTCTAAGTAGGCGGGAGAGAAAGCAGATCATAAAAGCCTAAAAAGAGCTAAAAGTGTAAAAGAGAAGAACATTAAAAGATGTCATGGTAGATTCAAAGTAAACAGATTCATTTGGTTGTGTTGAAGAGAAGGAAGCGGTCAGGTTTAGGGAGGCTGCTGGGTTCACGGTTAGCTTTAGGATTGTGGGTGAGCTTAAGAATAAAAAGCAGGGAAGAGGACGATGTGGAGATGGATGGTTAGGATTAGGGTTCAGGTAAGTGGGAAGTTGTTGTTTCTTTGTGTACAGGTGAGGTGGAGACCCTGACCCTCTCCCCTGTGAGAGCAAAGAAAAGAATGAAATGATGCAGGTAAGTTTCTCTAACAGGTGAGTACAACAAGAAATAAATGAATTCATGAATGTCGTTAAATCATCAAAGTTCACACGGTAAAAGAGGACAGCGTTAAATCACATGCAGCTTAGTGTTCAAAGTGTTCATGGGGTAGTAATAAATCAATAAAACAAGTGCTCTATGTGTCCTCCCTGTGGTGACAAACGTCCTGATTGGTGGAGCTGGTTTGCTGACTCTGATATATACAGGTGAGTGGGAGGTGGATACGTTACAGACGCTGATGCTGTTGTATCCTGTGCTGTGAGGTTTCTCCTGGAGCGTGACGATGGAGTTGTTGTGGAGGCTGGAGGCTTTCTGGATCCTCTGTGTCGGAGCCATGAATGGAAGTTGATGGTGTGTTTGGTTTCATGGTTTGTTTACTGCTTTGTTTATTGTTTACTTCTTGTTACAGGTGGGACATGTCGTGGTGATGTCAGTGATTATATGAGCCGCACTCACCTGTTCACCTGGTTTAGTCTCAGATGGAGAGAGGGCTGAGCGTGGGAGCAGAACATTTCTGTTGAGCGCCACACTACACTGCACTGCCATCACAAGTTGATTTTACCACCCGGTAACTGCAGTTGTAGTTTCTTGTGTTTTGTAGAATAAATGACTAAAGCATCTTGGATCTGGAAGTCATTCATAACGACGTCACAGCTTCACTCCCGTCTTTAGTCCCTCGCTGCACTCTTTTCTTTGACGACCTGCAAAGGCCGATATAGACGCAATACTCTGTGTGTCCTGATCAAGCTTTAAATAAAGTGCTGAGATCATGCTGTCAATAAATAAAGGAAAGTAAAACACACAAAACAACATGCACAAAGTCATCCATTCATTAAAACAAGATGAAAACATTTCAAACTAGTTTTTGTTTGATCTAAAACTCCATAGATGTCAAACAATCCCTCTCACTGTCCTTCCACCTTTTGGACACCAGGTGGCAGCATTGCACCGTGGATAAAAGCAGGTAGGGGAAACCGTGTTGTTGTTGGTGCACCAGCAGGTGGCGGTATTTCCCCGTTTTCCTTGTTGGCTGCAGTTAAAAGCAGAGAAACCAAACAACTGTCCTTCCGTCTTCTGAGCAGGAGATGGCGGCCTGAATCAAAGTTTTTCATTTGGGCCGTTTGGTTTCTTTCTTTTCAATCATTTGATGAACGTGGTTTCCATTCTGAGGCGTTGACTTCTGGACCAGTTTGTGTTGCTTTTGATGCCTTCTGTTTTCAGATGGTCTGCTCCACGTCTTCTGAAGTGCATGTAAACGGCCGGATTTTCTTTGCCTTTGTTTCTTTGGTAGATTTGTGGTCTCAATCTGTATTTCAGCTGCTTGTTTGTTTCTCCCACATACATGATATTACAGGTTGAACATGTTACTGCATAGGGTTAGAGTTAGGGTTACACACGGATTCAAAATGTCTTTAATCACCACTAACTTTTGAAATGTAGCGATTAATGGAGATTCAAAATGTTGCTGGTTGGACAGCCTCACATAAATATAAAATGCTGAATTATGAATAAATAATGAAACATCTTTTCAGACTGGTGGTCTCCTGCCGTTCATCATCATCAGGACAAACTAACGTTACTCTGTAGTTCATCTTTATTAGGAGGAGAATATGTGACCTTTAAACACAACCTTCAGTTTCTGTTTGAAGCCTTAAATGTAGATTCAGGATATTTAGAGCGAGGAGTCTCAGGAAACGTGGGATTAAAACTCTGAAACATTCTGAATAAACTTCCTCCTGTCTCATCAGATCAGCTTTAGAGTTGAAACTATGAAAAGATCTCACCGTTGATGTGAACGTAGGTCTCTGCCTCAGTGTGGTGTTTGATCTGGTCCTGTGTGACCACACAGCTGTAGTGGTCGGTCTTGGTCACAGTGGTTTGGAGGATGATGTCGTAGCTGCCTCCTCTTTCTGTGACCTGTGCTTCTTTAGCATGAAGGATGTTTCCAGAACTGTCCCTCCACTCCACTTTAGGTCGAGGAGAAGCTCTCTGACTAAAACTGCAGCAACGCCCAGTCTTCAGTTTCCTCGAGTCTTTCAATAATCGGCTTGAAGCTGCTCCTGAAAACAGAGTAAACAGTCAGTGAACACCAATCACAGCAGTACAAACATAACAACACAAGTTATACTCACACCTCCCAGAACTGTTTACATCACATTTAACTGCTTAACGGTCTCTTAGATTATAGAGTTAGATCAGTGCACACACAAATATTTATTGTTTATATATATGTAATAGAAATCCACAAATCTGTATCTTGTTACATTTATATACAAACTATTCATCTTTGATGAAGGTTGGTGACGTGCGGCTCTGAAGCTGCTCCTGTGGACACGGAGGAAACAAAGGTTCATGGAAAGAAGATTTCACATCCCTTCATGTATCTCCACTTCTCTTCTTTTATATTCCTCTACTGTACACGCCTTAGTTTATCTCAGCCTGTCACATGCTAGTCCCGCCTCCTGGGAATGGCTGTAGGCCAAAACAGCTGTCAATCACTCCTCCCAGCAGACGTGGGTTGTGTCTCCGTTGATCAGAAGCCGTTCAGGACGACGAGTGAGCCGTCTCTAAGTTGAGGTTAAAGGTCATGTAGCCTTCATGATTGGACAGTGAGAATGTGTGAGCGTCCATGGAGATGTAAGCGCTCTTTATCTCATACGGCTCTAAAGTGGAACATATGTGATGTGATTCTTGTTGGTTTTTCTGCTGCTATTGATATAAAAACATCTGAATACTACTAATATCATTTACTCTTATTTCTAATGTTAGTTATATGTCTACATCGGGGCGGCTGTGGGTCAGTGGCGAGTCGGTCGTCTCTCAACTGGAAGGTCGGGGTTCGATCCCCAGCTCCTGCAGCACATGTCCCATGTGTCCTCGGGCGAGACGCTTAACCTCAAGTTGCTCCCTCTGCTTCGTCGGCGGCGTGTGAATGTGTCTGAATGGATGAGTTAATCCTCTTTACCCAGCAGCCTCAGTATGACATCATCAGGTGTGACATCACCTGGAGCTCTGACCTCAGTCACAAACATACGATCACATCGACACATTTCAAACAAAGTGGACACAAACTGAACTTTAGAAAGTCGCTGGAGGTAGAGTTGATGTCTTTCCTGTCGTGTTGAATCGTGTTCCATCGTGTTCCTCGTCTCTTCTGTGACGCTGATCTGATACGGCGAGCTGCACGTGGAGGAACACGGACGCTGTGCGCTTTTAAAGAAAGTAGTCCCCGAGGAAAAGGCGGTCTGATGGAGAGGTGTAAATATTGACAAACACAGCGGACACTCAGGTTTCTGTGTTTTTCTTGAAGGTGGGACTTTTAGTGAAGCTGCTCCAGTATGTTTTCATCTCCTGCAGGTAACACGCCGTGTGGTCATAAGAAGGTCAAACGAGCACACGGTCAAACTGTGTACTGTCCCTTTAAGGCCTTTAGTGACCTCCATGGATCAAATGATTAAAGGGACGATCAGTGCATGTGTTTGGAGCTAAGGAGGCTCCTAGTTATACTCTGTTTTAATGATCATGTCGGCCTCAGTAGATTCAGCTCGGACATGTTTCACATTATTAAACGTCGTCTCTTCTCACTCACTGAAACGTCTCCGATTCCTGTGACGGCACGCCGCTCCTTACAAATGTGTGTGTGTGTTTGAATGTGTGTGTGTGTTTCTGAATGTGTGTGTGTGTGTGTTTCTGAATGTGTGTGTGAGTTTGTGTGTGAAATCTTTCCTCCATCATAACTAACGACTGACTCGTTTCAGAGCACTGATTCAGTCTGAAGTCACGTCTGAGTGCAGCTCTCAGTCAGGAGCTCTTTGGTGAGCAGGTAACATCTGCAGCAGCGTCCAATCAGAGAGCAGCAACACGGTAACCATGGAGATGAATCCAGCAGGACCAGCTGCAGTAAAAACTGTCAAGTAAATAAGTTTGAGTTGAAGGTGTGAAACATTAAAGTGAGCTCCTGATCCTGTGTGAAGGAGCAGCAGGTGTTGTTTAGTTTTGCTCTTTTAGATTCATGTCTGCAGGAATGTTTTAGTTTGAAGATAAAAAGAGTTCATGATGTTCACACAGAGACCAGATATGATGACCTACACACAGAAACACATCATGAAGAGTTAGAATTAACACCTGAATGTATTTTTAGTCATAAACTATTCAGTAAATAATCTTCCTCACTTCATTTAGATTCTTTTTGAATTATTTCTGACCTCCTCTTCGCTCTGGTCATTTCTTTTGTTTTCTGAACTAAATAGTTTCTTCAGTTTGTTCATCAGCTGCTCAGTTAACCTGGTGGTTAGTGTGAGGTGATCATTTCAACAACAAGCTCAAACGTCTTTAAGAACTCGTCTTTGTGTTGTGAAACTTTTAATGTAGAGATGCAGAATTCCACTTTTTTTAATGGTACGGTAGTTCAGGGTGAACTGTGGGTAAGATGGAGTGTAGGAGCCATAATGTGTGTT